GTCCGAAAGTGTAGCAGAGCTGTCGCGGACAACGGGACGTACAGCTCTCGTAAAGCCACACGCTGACATTCTTCCCATTTAATTAGGATAAGTCCATGTCCAGCAGTTGAGGACATACAGACATGTGGACCGAGAAACGCACGTTATCGGTCAAATTTCTGCTACTCAGACATTCTCTTAGAAAAGAATATGGACTCCGCCGCTGATTGTTACCACTTGAGTATTCACCACGCATTCTACTTCGGAGCTTTTGGACACATGTACTATGCATAATACTTTGCTCCAAGTTGTAAGAGCCGTTCAATAGCCATTTTACCAGCGCGGATACGGAGATCCCACAGCGACCTCACACTCTACGGTAGAAAATAGTCAGTTTGAGAGGGCACAGAAAAGCAGCGCGTTTGACTAGGATTAGACACAATGCTGACCGTGCGACAGCGCAATGAAAGGTATGGAGTCGACTCCGAGGTACACTGCCTTCGAGCCCCGTTTCCGTGCTCTCCTTAGTGGAGAAAGTGGCACGCTATCCAGCTGTAGACCGATTTAACTCACGAGTGGTATGGATCACGATAAGCAGAAGTGAGTGCACAACTTGCCTGCAAGCTGACTCTCTACACCACCGTTTAGAGTGCAGTGTCCTTCCGAACAGAATGTTCACCTTTGTCCACCTCTACTTCTCATATCATCTCATACGAGTAACCTCAGCGAAGCCATTTAGTGACCGTGGAGGAAAAAATCGAGAAAATTTCAAGTTTTCCGGAAAACACACTTTGCATTGATACAAACCATCATCAGTTAGCTCGCAAGGAAGAGGTGTGCATGAGAGGAAGTCCTCTAAGAAATCATCTGCAGTGCTACTGCTCGACGACGTCACAGCAAGGAGCGATTAACAACGTAATCAAAGGATTCCCGTTTTATAGCTCCGAATGGGAACCTTCCGAATTGATCTGTGCTGTAAAAGAGAACTCCCCTTGCCTAGGAAAAAGGTTACGACTCGGCCTAGATTCTCGTAATTTGTAAATGTTGATTCCAGATGCGAGACTAATAGAGTGAGTTGGTTTCCTTCGTCCATTTGGGAGTCAAAAGAAACATCAGACTTCTAAACGGTCCAGGCTGAAATAATCGCAGTTTTTTTGGGTTCTGAAGAGAAGGTAATCTTCTAAGAAATGTCCCATAGATGAGAGAAAAAACAAGAGGCTTCATCTGTGACTTAGAGAGTCTCTTAAGGGCAGAGAATGTACAGTCGTCATCCGGTGAGTTGATTATTGCGGCAAGGGATGCGACGCGGCTGCGGTGTGTTGCGAGCGCGGCGATCAGCTGTTTCCAGCCTATTTTAGCCATTTTCTCCCTAGTTTACGCTGTTTTGGCTGCTTTTCTCACGATTAGTTGTTTCTTGTCTTCACAAGGTAAATTATGATTGAGATTCTTCTGGTTTTTGCGTACAATTAAACAGTTAAGCAGACAATTGAACAAATACCTGAAAAAATCGCAAAAACACTCTTTGCAAAAACAAAAAACATTCCACAATTTGATGTACTTCATAAAG